AGGTTAACGCCAAATGATTTTATCTTTCAGTACGATCTATTCATATTGTCCATCGTTTGTTCGCTAGTTAGTTAGTTAGTCTCATGTATTCTAATCTAAAATAAAAGAATCTTTTTTTAGTTGATGTTATTAATTAATGGGATTGTTTTTAAAGACAAAAAAAATTGAAATTAATTTTAAAACATGAATTAGTATTTATTTTCATTTTCAATTCTTATCTTTCAGGTCAATCTAGAAAGGTCAAAGCGTTACCGATTCATAAATCTCACTCCATATTCATCTATATATCTATATATCTATACATAGATGCTTTTGCTCAGGCGAACACACACCAACACAAATAAGAGTTGAATGATCAAAAAACATTGAACAATGAAAACAATTAGAGGTTATAATCAATTATCAAGATTTTGATAAAAAGCTAGGGGAGTTTTTTATTTGTATTTTCATCAAGTAGACTCGAAACCATTTTACCGATACTACTACTATTACTACTACTACTACTAATAATAATAGTAATACATTGAAGCATTGTATTTATTCATTAAAATATTTTAAAATTTTTAAACAAAAATTAAATATTCATGTCTATGTTGCATGTACTAGTGATAGGTAAACTGTTAGGTAACTGATAGAAACAAGTTCAGTCAGTCAGTCAGTCATTTGCAACGTAGAACTTCGTACGTATGTACATAAGTTCATGTTGCCATACCACATTAGCACAAAGACGCAGATGTCAAATCAAATCCCATAGTGATAAAGATAGAAGAGGTATTAATGGTAATGAAGAAGACTAGGGTTTGAAGATATTATTCAAGAAGTATAATTCAGTGAGATAAGGTTAGAAAGACAAAGGTAGATGTGCTGACGAATCCAGAAGATCAGGATTTGAGAGAGCTCAACGAATGGATGCACTTGCACCATTGCAAACGATTTTGAGCCATGTCGTTCAAGGTCTCTAACAATTGGTGAGTTTCGTCTCGTGGACCCCAACCAGGTAGTCTACATCTACCAACATGACTCAGTCCACTAGTCAGTGACTTCATGGATTTCTGCCATGTTTTTGTCTGACCGAACCCTTGTGATTTAGTGTCATGGATTGATTTGTTCAAAATGTAGTTGAAGTGCTCTTGATAATTTATTGATGATTGTTGGTATTGTTAAAGTCAGCCTGACTAATAAATTGGGATTTCATACAATCAGCAATTAATTGAGGAAGTGAAAAATGTTTTGTTGTCAGTAAGGTATTTAAAGAATTCCAAATGGAATCCACAAATGAGATATATATATATTTTACGATCGATAAATTAAAGCAGGATAAGAGGAAATATATTTGTGATTTATGCTACCTGATTTTATTCAGTATTATTTCTTGGAATAGTAGGATCAGTGATTTTAAACTAGGAGTCAAGTGATGACTAATATGAGTGTTAATAAACAAGATCGATAACATTAAGGATCGGTCTTAGTCAAACAACTGCTGAAAACCATGAAACATTGAACAGCCTCTCAATGGTAGTGTGAGAATTCATCACAGCCACAGTCCTGACATTAGGGATCGAACATAAGACCTTCGGTCTCGTACAAGAACGCTTAACCTTGCGACCATTTATTCAAAATTCAATTACTAATATTGTACAACCATATCCCAATATAGTTATTGGTTGACTACCTTAAAAGCTCCTGTGCTTAAATGAAACATCTGTCCAGTACTGCCTGGTTTCTAGTAGTTTTTAACTAAGAACATTACGTGATATTAACTGAAAGAGTGAAAGGTTTTAATAAACACGTATAGTTGGATGGTATTATGAACAAACAAACAGAGTTTGGATGAATCCTTTTGAATTTCTGCGCGAAATTTTTTCTTTCATATGGCTACCGAGCATCATTGTACTGTAGATGATGATATTGAAAACCCTTACCATAATCCCTTGCCCCAAACACTTACCTTAACTCCTAATCCTAATTCACAAACCTGTCTTGAAACTAATAAATTTTTGGGGACGTTTACGATTGCTTTAGAAATCACTCACGATCGTTTATAAATAACGATGTCATTTACAGTTTCAATAACTTTCAAATTAGACGTTTAAGTATATCAGGCAAAAATTTCGTGCCATCTTGATGAACCAATGAATAATTCTAGACTTTCAGTGCATGATAATGAAGTTATTTTTCTCACACTTTTTATGTTAATAAAAACAAATTTTAAGTTTGATAGCAGAAAAAAAAGATAAAACACACAATATTACAACAGTCTTCAAAAATTTTTCCAAAAGAGTTTACATGTGAGACAGTTCTCTCTCTCTCTCTCTCTTCTGGGAATTTCGATGTTCACTTACATTTATAATGACGATGTTGACAATAAGTCAACTACTAATACTGGTGATGAACTTCATGGCTTTACACATCCTCCATCGTCAAGCCGTTGCCCTAAATCACATTAATTGATATTTGATAGTTCGCAAAATTATGCTTTCTGTGATCACATAACAAATTAAAACTATCAATAATTGAAAGAAAATTCCGGAATAATCTTTATTCAGTAAAACTACAAAAAACTAAGAAGATTAGCCAAATTACTTAGTCATTTAAAGAAAAAAATTATCTTATCAAGATGAAGTTAACAATAAGTGATGTGAAATAATTGAAGATAGGACATAGGATTGGATATAACTAAAATTCGGATTCATATATTTCTCTTCAGAACTGTAAATATTTGTGTTAATTAATCTTGTACTGGTAAATTTCACCGCATTGTTACAGTCTATCATAATTAAATTAATTGTAATAAGTAACTAGTTTAAAAGTTGAACTCAAGTTAAATGATAAGACATCAGTGACTTGATATAATCTACTCTTATCAGTTTGAATAACAATCACTATGATTTGGTAATTCTTATCGAATTACTCAATATAAGCATCAGTAAGTCGCCGGTACAAAGAATTATTGCTTCAATAACTAAGCCGAGCTTTGTTTTGTAGTGTAGAAATAGGTTGGAAGAAAGTTAGGCGCGGCCAAACCAAAACATGGCAGAAATCTATGAAATCATTGACAAGTGGACTTAGCCATGTTGGTGGTTATTGACTACCTGGTTGGGGTCCGCGAGATGTTAGAAATCGATGGTTAGAGACCCTGAATGACATGACTTAAAAACCGTTTGCAGTGGCGCAGGTGCATTTATTCTTTGTGTTGTCTCAAATCCTAATCTTCTGGATTCTTCAACACCTCAAGTTTTTTTTCTTTCTAAACTCATTTCACTGAATCATACTTCTTGAATAATATCTTCTAATCCTAACCTCTCCGATTACTTCTAATACGTTTACTACCTCTTCTACTATTGGATTTGAATTGACAATTACATCTGTGTGCTGATGTGGTATGTCAATATGAACTGATGTACTTACGTACGAAGTTCTATGTTGCATCTGACTGACTGACTGACTGACTTAATAACTAAGCAAAGCACTGATATATTAATATAGTAATATTATACAGCCAGTAGAGAAATGCATGACACTTGAATTATGCATTCAAGAAATAATCACTACAAGTTCCAGAAAACATCAGATCGAAACGTACGAGAAATAAATTAATCTAATAGATAAATGAAAAGACTATAATAATTAGTCTGAAAACAAATACTCATTCAAAAATATCATCACAATATAACAGTCATCATAAGAAACAGTTATATTCATTGATAGAACCAGTATGTATAGAGATAGTATAAATAAGCAGTGATAAGTGAATAATTATTTAATATTAATTTTTTTTCACTTTCCTAGGGTTAATCACAAAATTATTGATCTTTATCATGAATCTAACTTTCTGCATGTTCCGTTTTTAAAGACAGAACAACCAAAGAAACGATCATTTTCACACAGAAGTGTACCGTTTGTTGAGAACATAAGGCAAATTTTATCAACAAATCAAAATCTAGGAAAAATTTTGAATTATAAATCAATTGATAAGCCTCATTGCGTAATTTATCATTCATTTGAGAAAATATCCGTCCATCCTGATACATGAAATCCTCATTTCAAATTACTGACCAGTTTAAACCTGTACAGTTATTTTCAAATAAAACTCATTATTAATGCGCAAATATAAATTTGAAATCATAAGATCGATCAGTGTTAGATCACCATTAGAAACCTGGAAGCACTGAAAGACAGTTGTTTCATCTTAGTACGGGACTCATCCGCAGTGCACATCCACAACTCCCACACCTCGCAGGATTCAAACTTAGGACCGTCGGTCTTGCGCGCGAACACCTAACCTCTGCACCACTGAGTCGGTATCAATATAAAGTGTAAACTTTTGGTGAATAAAACCCTTCACTACTCAAATATCTGTTTAACCAATCCTCTAAATGATTATATAGTAAATTTATTTACATTGATTTTTGAAACTCACTGTCTTATTATTATCAGATAACGAATTGATGTTTGATTAAAGAATAAATACTACTTACTAATGGATGCTGCAAGAAAAGGTAGAATCAAATTATTATTATGATTATTATTGTTTTCTTATCTATTTACTATGTAGACTTCATAAACAAACAATACAATCTAACAATGTTGTCATACAAACAGAGAAAAAAAAAGAGAGATAAGATTAAACTGAATAAATGACGTCAAGTTGAAATGATGATTACATTTAGGAAGAGAAAAGGAATAATAGTAATAAGAAGAAGAATAACCGTTGAAAACCACTTTTGATAGATAGGCAGATAGGTAGATAGATGAATGAATAAATAACTAGATAGTTAGTTAGATAAATAGATACACAGATAAACATTTGAGATAATATGAAAAAAATGTTCTAAGAAATGTACAGCGCAGAAAAATAAACATTTTGAATTATGCATGATTAACACATAACACTAAGATCAGCCTTACAGCCTCACAGTAGGGATATACATTTAATTCCAAATGTTTACACAACTATCCTGTCACATTCATTATCATCTATCAATTAAAAATTACAATGAAATCAATCTTTCCAAGAATTATCAGCAATATAATCACTTCATTCTGTTACAATAGTTTGTATGCCGTTGTTTTAAATATCATAAGAGTTTGATCATTGATTGTAGTATTGATGTAGTATTGTTTTCATTATTGATGAAAAAAAATCTTTCTGTTCATTGAAGAATGAGATTAATATTCATAACATAATGATGTTAATCACATGAATGGAAATGTTATTCATATTTATGAAAAATATACTTGATTTCATTGAGAAAATTAGAGCACATTAGATTCGTATATAGTAAACGGAAAGTGATATGAGATCGGGAAGTAGTGTACTACAACAAAGCTTCTCCAAATCAAAAGAACTAACACTTGGTATTTTTTTGGTTTACAATAATCCCTCAGTTGATATTAATCAGTGGAAAAATAAAACACTTTGACAATGTGCTCGTTCTTAAATATCACTTTTATTAAGTGACTACTGATAGAGAAAAGTTCAAAGAATAGTTATTGAACAATCGCAGTTACGACTAAGCGGTAGATTGACTCGATCTCGGTCCACCACTCAAGTTAACTAATTACGCTCATCACTGAAACCTTCGCAAGGTTACAATGTCTTAGGACGGGTTCGCTGAGAAATAAGTGACTAAGAGAAATCTAGTATTTCAAACAGTTATTTCCAATCAGGAATTTAAATAAAGTCAAAACAACAATTGAGTTAGAATAATATTTTGTGGTTTCTCCACATCCGCTTACAAGCTTATGTGCATAAACAAGGCAGAATGATGTAATTATTGAAAACATTTTATTCCCTTGTAAAGAATTCTATCCTCCAAGAAAAGGTTCTCGTACATATATATACTGCCTTAGACGTAATGCTTTATACATATCGAACGAAAAGTAATTTTGTACACAGTGTTATGCCTAAGGTAGAAAACATCTAAAGTTGTATTAAGCTGAACGGTTAATGCCTTTCAAAACAATGCCGGCCGGTTATTTCTAAAGACAAACATGTTTGCTTACAGCCACGTGAATAATTAAGTCAAAATGTAGATTTCTAAACATTATGTAAGTTTTTAAGCTTAACTTCTAAGTGAAATTTAGGGAAAAAACTACAAGTAAACATTTAAAATGATAAGGTAATGGACAGTCATAAAATAGTCATGAATAAAAGTATTTTTATTTCTAACTTGGATCCCAAGTAGAGTCAGTGAAAGCCAAAGCAAACAAGTCACAATTTTATTATGAATAAAAAGATTTTTAAAGATTACCAAAAGAAAATGTGGGGTTCAATGATTTTAAAATGTCACTATATTAACAATTACAGACAAGTATATGACTATTCAAATGAGATGACCATGCAATATTTATGTCAGAAATAATTTGTAAGTGAAATAACTAATTTAAATACGATACAATTTTCACTTCGCATTTGTGACGATAACGCACTGCTGATGAGTCCCATACCAGGACGAAACGGCTGTCTTTCAGTGCTTCCAGATTTCTAATGGTGGTCTAACATTGATGGATTCTTGGCCTCAAAAAAATCTATAAGAAATACAGTGATATCAGTTTCAGTCAGTCAGTCAGATACAACGTAGGATTTCACACATCAATTCACATTGTCATACTATATTGGCACAGAGTTGTAATTGTCAATTCAAATCCAGTAATAGTAGAGGTAGAAAAAGTATTAGGGTTCTACGATATCATTCAAGAAGTATAATTCAGTAAAATAAACTTAATAAGAGAAAGGTAGAGATGATGAGGAATTAAGAAGATTAGAATTTCATAGAACACAATGAGTGGATGCACCTGCGCCACTGCAAACGATTTTGAGCCATGTCGTTCAAGGTCTCTAACCATCGATACCTAAAGGAGGTAGTCTACACTCACCAACATGACTCAATCCAGTGACACTAGTTGTCAGAAAACACCTCACTGATCACAAGTGTATCATCATCATCGGAAATGTACACAACATATTATTACAAACAGTGAAAATATTTATTTTTTTAAAAATAAAGACTAGTATATTTATTCTGCATTCAAATTCACTTGTATGGATCATTCGCTTTTCCGATCACCTTTACCAAACAACAAACAGTATCAACCACTGGACAGATAAATGTACTTTGATAAATAAATCACTTTATATACACATAATCTTTGGCTGTTTAACTTCATGTCCCAATTTGCTGTCATCGTAATTCACTGACAATTTTTAATATTAGTCATATATGGCATAATTTTCAACAACAACAACAACACCAAAAAAGATCTTAACAGGATTGATTCATCAACTGATCATATCATGCAACCTCATAAATTGTGTTAAACTAATTAGGAAAAATGTTTTTTAAAAAAATACCCAAGTAACACTGAACACAGTGATAAAGGAAAGTAAAATGTACAAGTGTATGTATGATTGAGAAAATAAACGGCAATGTTAATTGATTCATTCATTGATAAAGTAGTTAGGTAGTGAACAATTTCAGATAGGTTGAATAGATATGATGGCACAGTTTTTAATTATCAATGATCTTTTATTTTTTTTTAAAAAATAAACATGAATAAATTAAATTTTCTAAAAAATATATTGGAAATAAATAACTATTGGCAATAAATGTGAAAATCATGTGTTTTTTGCTTCGCGAAGAAAAAATTTCTATATTAGGGGGCAAACACACATAAATTATGTTTTGCTAGTTAGATCTGTTTATTTGATCAATAGATATATATTTTCCTCTCCTAGATAACATCTAATGCAAGCCATGATTGTACATTGTAATAGATTTTATCAGCAACCTTGGTGGAACTTTCATAACAAAACAGATGAATGTTTATTATCATCGACATGACTTAAGGTCGGTTGCAATAGCGCAGGTGCATTCGTTCATTGTGTTCTCTCAATCAAATTCTATTCTTCTGAATTCCTCATCATCTTTATCTTTCTCTCCGTAAATTTATCTCACTGAATTATACTTCTTGAATAATATCTGAGAAAGCTAATCTTCTTCATTACTACTAATATCTCTGTTGTCGCTACCACTATTGGATTTGAATTGACAATGGCATCTCTGTGTTAATGTGGTATGGCAACATGAACTGATGGATGTACTCATGTATGAAGTTCCACGTTGTAATTGACTGACTGTCACCGAATATTTGCCTATTGATCATTGAAATCCGTGTAATATTTAAAACATGAACAGACATCGTTATATACTTGATTGATATTTAAAATACATGTATCATATTGAGTAAGTATGATACATAATCAGTAAATGAGATATTCAACTTTATCACCAATCAAGTTGATAAGCGACTGAGTTAAGTGTGAAGTTTTTTTAAAAGTTATAAGAAGCTTTTTATTTAGTGTGATCTAAATGTATTATCTTAGTAAGAATACTGTGTGATTTCCCTAGTTCTTGTCAAGGACTAACCGTAACAACGATGGGTAAAACATTCTACAAAGTGATATTTTATTTTACAATAATCTAATTGATTTACTAAACTGAAAACGTAGGTAGGTAGGTAGGTCAAGTGAAGCACATCACGAAATCCTTGCAATTGACTCAACTTAGAGCTGAAACAGGGAGGAATTCAATGTGTGTTTTGTGACTAACAAAACAGAATAAGCTAATTTACACGAAATAACATTTCAAATATACGTTTAACCGAGGACAATTCTTACATGGAAAAAAAAGCCGATCTGTCAACCAATTAAATCAACACAAATTATTGACTATCTTTTCAAACTGAACAGTAATTGCTGTTTAAATAAACTACTCTACTTACATCTAATTAGATGAGAAGTACTGTGCAAGTGTAACAAACTGATTAGGTGACCGATTTACGAGTATAAATGATCATTACAAGATTCAGTATTCAAGAAATAAATCATGTGAATGTTGTACAAACTCATTGATAAAAAAAAACAGATTTTTATCTATTGAAGACATGTAGATATGCATCATAGTTGGTCAGTGAATTTGTACAAACATTTATTAGGACTAACATAAGCATATGCCTAAAGTTATTTACAAA